TGTATTGGGCTAAACATTGTTTCCCCAACATAGTGATTAGCCAGATTATTGTGTGACCTTCCTTGGAGAGACTCTTTGCAGACACAGGTGGCTGAGACGAAGTTATAATGGAATCCACTGACTGAGACTTCAGTGAGGCATCTACCTGTAAGGAAAGGCACACAGGAAGTGTGGCCACAGCTCCCGGAAGCCAGGGCAGAGAACTCCACCTTGAAGGTGCCTGGTTTTTAGATATCTATCTTCCAATGAGGGAATAAGTATGTTTTGTCTGAAGTCACTGTCAGGCTAAGTAGATACAGCTGTGCTAGAACACAGACCTAGACATCAATGTCAGCTTTCAATACTTGCCAATTTGTGGGTGAAATTTTCTAAGATATCGTTTGTTTAAACACTAGCAAAACACATAGGTTTGAAGTGTCACTGTTTCTTTTTCATACATATGTGATTTTAATTTATCTGAAATGAGTTTGTTTGAAGCACTATTTAAATATCTTATTGAGGCTTTTACATAAACATTTCCTTTGATGAAGCATTTGTGCAACCGTGAACTGCAGTTACATTGGCTCCACTAGCGTTAATGATGGATTGCTGTGTTGTTTTCTACCTGACCGGCAGGAACCTGCTTTAGGCTCCTCATACCTTAAGATTAATTTCATAGAGTCCTTGATGAAGGGCACGGCAGGCCTGCACACCGACTGTCCCAAACAACGACTTTGCTCTCTCCAGTGTTTATTCAAGATCATAGAACAGCTTGTTAACTATTTTCAAAGCTGAGTTTAATCCAGTCATAAATTAAATATAAATTTATTGGATGGTGAATTTCTCAATTATTTTATTAAGTCCACATCACGAGGCTATATAGTAGCTACACAAAGCATTTAGTTTTATGACATATGTTCCTCTATTTTTCTCTAAAAATTTTTACTTTGAAATGAAAGGCTAAAAATAATATTCATAGTTATATTTTGTTTTTAATATAACTTGAAAACTACATTAAATTGCAAAAATTTAATCTAAAGACACTAAAAACAGCCACGTGGTGGTGGTGAACGCCTTTAATCCCAGCACTCAGAAGGCAGAGAGAGGAGGCTCTCTGTGCGTTTGAGGCCAGCCTGGTCTACAAGAGCTAGTTCCAGGACAGGCTACAAAGCTACAGAGAAACCCTATCTTGAAAAACCAAAGTGGGAAAAAAGGAAATAAAAAGAAAAGAGGCACTAAACACAATGGCCACTTTACCTAGCACTTTCAGTTACTCAGCTTTTTCCTTGAGATTTTTTTTTTTGAGAAATATTAGCTGAGAAACTAAATGTATTCCCAAAGTAACGGAGAAATACATCATTTTCCAATTAGTATAAATGTAATATTTACTATTTGAGTACTTTTTGCAAATGCATTTGGGATGACATATGCTTAAATTTTTGGTGAAGTTTCCCTGCTATTGGTATTACCTACAGAACTGAAGATATTCTGGGACTGGGTCCCTGATGGAAAATAACAGGGGAAGAACGGCAAGAAGAATATGAGATAAAGACTCGGAATGGTTCCCTTTTTAGCTATGAAAACATAAATTTTTTATTTGTGAGATCATTACAATAAAATTTTTAAATATATATGATATTTCATTAATTTTTCAGATGCACGATAATGGTATGCCTATTATTTTTCTGCAGCAAGAAGCACTTGGCAATACAGTATAATGATAAAATGATTTCCTCTTCAAATTATAGACTGTGGGGCATATGCAAACAAATTCATCTTCATCCATCCCACATACAGACAGGATCTGTTGAGTGTCCTCTTTAGTAGAAGCCATCAGAGCTTCTCGCAGGTTCTCAGCTACATGTCACAGTGATATTGCGTGATAAAGTGGTCATGACCCTAATTTAACAATGTCTGTGATGATCCTTAATGTCTATTAAAAGCTCTACATAAACTAGTAATTTCAGTATAATGATATTATGCAGAAATACAGGTATTTGGTAATTTAAAGGGCCTATTATAGAAAAGCAAGGACATTTCTAGACACGGACCTGAAGAGAGGACAATTATTGGTATCCTGGTCTCCCTTCCATTGGCCCAGTCTGTGCCTCGGTGACTTTCCACAGCAATGAAGCAATGGAAACTGAAAAGCTATTAAAAGGGAGGACAGAAATTTTGAGGACTGTGAACACCCACTGTAAAGTAGAAATGTAAAATAACATTGCTGAAGCAGTTAAACCTCCAGCTTGAGTTCATATAACCGGATGGGATGGATTAAAGTAGGCAGAATTCGCCCACGGTCTTTGAACTTCGGCGCAACACAGCTTGGTACCTCTCCCTTGCTCAGGACAGGTTGGGCAGATTTTAGACCGGGTGTTAGTCTTTGTCATTCCCCATGGCTAGGCAGTCAGTACCCACTGGATCTTCTCTCAGCAGGATCCTAGACCTGCACCACCAGCGTTCTATAAAGCCATCTTTATTTCTGTAGCAACTGTGGAGAAGGAAAACCTGCCTCATCCAGACAGAGAGGGGCCCCTAGGCCAACCAACTTGATCCCAGTTGTTAGCTTTAACTCTTCTAATCTTAGTGACCAGTCAAGAAAATTCCAAATCTCAGTAACCTCATTAGCTAAAGGGGAAAATGAAATATGGAAATATAGGTTATAGTGGCTCCCTGACATTCACGATAACCTTCTGTAATAGTCCTCATAAGGTTAGGGAAATGTTCCCAGGGCATTTAGACAAATGAACTTGACCCTTGTGATGTAACTAAGTTGTATTATCCAAAGGTCAAAACTTTCATGAATGTGCGCATGTTAAATAAAATGCATATTTTAGGACAGAAGCTGATATTTTATCCTGCAGTCCTATCCGCTACCCCAAACTGATCAAACTTAACTGTCTCAAGTTAAATACTGGCATCACTTCCTTTTTTAAGTGTATAACTTAACCATTTTTCCAGGGTCTTTTACTCTAATTCTTATTAAACAGGCATTGTGCTTTTGGTTACCTTAACATATCAACTTTTGCATGTGCTCTTGCAACCTAAAAACTGCCCCGGGGTTTTCACTTACTAAAATAGAAACTTAACCACACCCTTTTCTTTTCTTTTTCAAACAACATATTCTGATTATGGCTTCCTCTCCCCCAACTCCTCCCACATCTACACCCTTTGCACTAAAATCAGAATGTTTTCTTCCATCTCTCAAAATAGCTTCTGGTTCGAGTCTGAACAGACAGATGTTGGACTGAGAGCAAATGCTCGTGAGTCTGACCTGCGGTTAGTGTGTGAGCAAGCAGCAGCAGTGGCTGCTGGGAGAAATGCCTTCATGACTTTTGCCAGGAATAACAGAATCAAGAGGCCAAAAAACACAGCTGCTAGAGACTTGCAATTTTACTTGTTTGACACTTACCTACTTTATCAGTGATTTATTCTCATGTGTGCAGGACAAATGATTACATGCCTTTAAAGTTTTGAAGTTCCCTAGCAAATAATCCAAATAAACTGAGTTTGCTAACCCCAGATTTGCCCCAGGAGTCTTGATAGGGAATGAAGGGTAAGGAAAGCAACCAGGGCTGCTGGAGTGTGTTATCCTTCCACAGAAACTAGTTTTAGTTTAGCCCAGACAGTCATTCCCTTCTCCCTAATATATGCTCTGAGTTTGTCACAAGTCAAAACCATAAAAGCAAAATTTGCTGGTTATTAAGTTTAAGGGTATGAATGGGGCAGATTTTCATAATTATTCTTCAGCTTTCTTTTGCCAAATGAACTACCTAGTCTTTTCTTACTCTCCCAGACAGAATAACTCTAATCATGAGGGTAAAATAATTTCCACTTCGCTTGAAATCTTTCTGCATTTTGTAAATTGAAAGTTCTAATGAGGCTTCAACGACTACACTTTCTTCCTCAAAAGAGGAAGAAAACATAGCCAGATTTAGATTTGGGGGGCCTTTAAAATAAGATTTCACTTTTGATTTCCAGCTTCTTGCTCCACGAGAATGTGAAAGGAGGGAAGGGCAGGACAGAATCGAGTGAGTGGGGCAGATAATCTAGCAGCCCTTACTCCTATCTGAATGGTGCTGCCGATAGGCCAATATCGTACTTCATAAAGCAAGCCCCGGCATCTGAGGAGTTTGTGTCATGCTCCTAAGCGGGGCCTGGAGCCACCTGTGACAAGACTGCTCCCTCCCCTCCACACAGGAAGAAGCAGAGACGTCCCTGAGAATGAGTCACGATTTCCGTCCCACAGAAGTATTATGAGATAGTGACCTTCAATGAAGTACAGACGGGCAGAGTATTGTTTTTGAAATTTGTACACCACACAATTAGTACATAATTACATACTTTTATGCCTTTGTGATAAATTTATTTCTTTCCATTGCTCTAGTCAGAAAGAAAACTTAACATCTACAATATTCTTCTTTGGGGAGTCTTTGCTGTTCTTTGGAAGCCACAGTTCATAGGGTTGCGGAGCAATGTTTGGAGGCAAAGAAATCTGTTTGTGTTTTTCCTCTAAGAGCAGAGATGAGTAGGAATTTTGGTTCAAACAATTCCCTCATGCAGTATCCTCAAATTCCCCAGTGAGAATCTACAAGAGACAGCAACAGCTCAAGTTTACAGGATTTGTAATTTACTGTAAAATACTGCAGCATAGACCATTCGATACATCCATACAGGAGGTTTTGGGGGTGTGTCTAGATACAGGCAGTTAGTTAATGGGTAAACAGGTTACACCAGAGTTATGAATGCTTACACCAGAGGGTGGTTGATCATCCCTAAAGAGGACAGACAGAGGTACTTAACCCTTGCGGATCATTAATCATCTGGGGGCTTTCAAAAACAATGCATAGGCTACATTATTTCATTTTCAATTACCATTCAGTAAAAGTAGAATTTTATTGTGGACAATTCTATGAATTTTAATACATATACAGATTTGTATAACTACCCCTACAGTCAGACTTCTGACCTCCATGAAGCTGCCTTGCATGCTTTATCCATCTAGAATCATAGTGTCCCTGCAATGACAATTTGTTGGGATGACTTTTTTTTTTTTTAAATAAATACTGGTGTCTAGACTTTTTTTCTCAGAGATCTTGATCTCATTTTATTGAGAAAAGACTTGGAATCTCTTAAACGAAACAACACAGTAAAAACAAACAAAAAGTTACCAAGGGTATAGACAAGGTAGAGAGGCTATAGATATCTCTTAAATCATCTAACAATTTTCAACAAATAAACTGGCTTCAACTTGTTTGGCTCATTGGTTGAACTCCACCTTCCACGCTAACAGAGCGGAGCACCTGGCTAGATGGCCAGGGGCACTGGCAGTGTGGCTGTACGCCAGAGTCGACACTACCCACTTTCCTTTGACTTACAAACCACTCAGAAATGGATGCCATAGCTATTGCCGTGTTTTTCAAACTCTAGGGGAGTCTGAAATGACATTTCTGGGTTGCTCTGCACACGCTTCCCATGTCACACAATGCAGATGCATCATCTGAAGGCTTGACAGGATTTTGAGGATTGACTCCCTCCGAGTTCTCTTATGTTGCCATTGTCAGGAAACATCAGCTCCAGTCGGTGTGGAGGAAGGGCTTCCCCAAAGGCTGGCTGTGTAGTCCTCGAGATTTGGTTGCTGGCATTTCATAGTGAGCGATTCAAAACCCAGAGCGAGGAGGATACGTTATCTTTTAGAATCTGACCTCTGAGTCCCACATGGTTATTCCTCTTAAATTTTAGTTTTCTTAAGCCAATAAGTAAATTCTTTGCACACTCAAGAGAAGCAAAGCTAGACTCCAGAAGATTCCCTCAACAAACTTTGAAACCATCACAGAAAGTAATTGGCTAGAGTTGAGGGATATAAAAGATATTTTGACTGCACTTATTGAAATGTTTAAGGTATGGCTAGAGAGAGATAGCTCACTTGGTTATATGCATGCTGCACAGCTACGAGCACCTGAGTTTGATTAGACACATGTTCTAAACGTGCCAGGAACAGTGATACTCACCTGTTATCCTAGTGTTAAGGAGACAAACAGGCAAGTCTCTGGGACTCAGTGTCCAGCCAGCCTCGCCTCTTGGCAAGTTCCAGGCAAATGAAAGAAAATCAAAAACCCTCTTTTAAACATGGAGGTGGAGAACTCAGACAAAACGACACCTGAGGTTGTCCCCTGAGCTCCACAGCACATGCTCTCACATATCCACATCTAAGCCAGACCCAGGGCTTGCGGACCATGAATTATAACTAATAGAGGAGTAAAGCGAGGAGAATTGAAACTTCAGATCCAATCTGGGCAACTTAGCAAGACTGTGTGTTAAAATTAAAATACGTAAATAACAACAATTTTCATGACTAATTCTAGTAGAGCAAATGAACTTAACAAAAGTCAAATACCCACAAACACCCCAAACTCTCAAAACCGTAACGAGTGAGTGGGCCACCAAATATAATTGGTACACGTATCTTCAGAGAAGAAAGAACACACGAGATCAAAAGACATCGTCTGGTCTTGCTCAAGACCATGTTGTCCAATGAAGCAGTTCTTCTGAAGACATGTACTTTCAGGGCAATGCTGTAGATGTGTTAATACGAAAACAGAAATATGTGATAACAGATAAACAGAAATGACATTTAATTTCAAGCTCCATTAGGAACATGCAGGCAATGGGGAGAACAAGGTCAGCCAAGATGGTAAAGGACAAAAATATTTCATTTCCAATTATTTAAAATGGTGTACAGATGTAGCAGCCCGGATACTGCTGAGTGCTTGCCAACTAAAAAATGAAAGGGATAACAACAAAGGAATAGATATCCATAATTCCTGAAGGCTTCAAAATCCTGTTTCCTGTCGAAGTACTGTTTTTACCCATTAAGTATTTGGGCCATGTAGATCAGCATTCTGTAGTTGCAGAGGTACCCAGCTTTGTTTACATAAAGTCTTAGGAGAACACAGCCATCCTGAAACTCCCTTGTATTGTATCTACGGTTCTCACTGTGTGGCAGTGACTCCTCAAGTCTCTGTGAGACACAATTGGTCATTAAGTATATTCCAACTTAGAAGGCAGTTCCTGAAGGAGCTGCTAGCCTAGGGGAGACTCAAAGAAATCATCCAGGAAAGGAGAGAACTCTGCACACCTGGATCAGAGGCGGCAGGGGCTTCCCCCTTTCATCTTCACACTAGTCCCTTCCCTTCCAAGCATCATGGATGAAGTCATATTCCATCCTTGTAAGTTCCTGATGTATGATGTCTGATTCCCTATTGTAGGGATCCCTCATTTTATTAAGGTTCTTCTAGCAAACTTGTCCAAATCTTGACCTGAAGGTAAACCAGAAGACACACCCACCCTATGGCCAAGGGCTATATATCTCTAGCTTTGGAGGCTGCTTGCTCTGATATCCTTGAAAAGCCAGGGCATGATAAACACTGTTACAAAGTGCTCGGGGACACCATATTGAAATTGCCTTCCGATAACAATGCCTCAGAGAGGAAATCAAATTGGTATGTGTTGAGTCAATTACCTGTCCTGCCTGGATCATGTGCCTTTTCCAATAGATGAAGTATACCATCAGCTCTGCTGGTCAGTTTTCATCCAGAGGCCAGGACCAAGTTTAGTTATCAAGGAAATCAGAGAAGGATGTGTTTGACATACACAAATCATACTTATCGTAGTTCATATTAAAAAGTAACTTACTAGGCTCAAGAATTAAGGCGGGGCTACATCACGAAGAATTGTATGGACTGTGTTTACAGGTTTGGAAATTTCTTAAATGACTGCGCATTAGTGGGGTGGTAAGGTTATCTTTACAGTCCTACTGATTCAGGCTTTAGGGGTTAGGAACAAGGAAACTCTGCAGGGAAATATTGATAAGTGAGTCTGGACCAGGACAGTGGGCAGACAGAAGGTATGTTGGTAGTAGCCTGTGGAGTGGGAAGACGGAATTAAAGATGGACTTCATGCTTCTATTTGGTAAAACTTAGTGAAAGAAGACACATTTTAGAAAGAGAAGTAGGTTTTATAAGGTAAAAGCAAATGCAGTTTTGAAAATTATGGCTTTGGGGATAGAATGGGACGTAGAAAATTGGGCTGAGAAAATAAATGAGACACAGGAGAAGGGTCAATCAGAGACAGGATACCTGGTACCAGTGCTTAGGGGAAGATGTAAGAAGCAGTCTCAGCCGAACTGAGAAAGCAGTCAGGAAGTACACACAAAGGAACCACGGAAGACACAGAACAGCTGCAGGAAGATATCTGAATGAAGGCGGCATACTCTAGTCCTGCTTTATTATGAATGGATCATGAGGTGTCTCAAGAGCTACACACACACAAAATGACAAATCCAGAGTAGGCAAACGTATCAAATGTTCCAATGGCCACTTCATCAACCTAAAAGGAAATGCCCTCAGTGACAAGGGAGCACCGAGAACTGAAGAGAGCCCAGGTCTCCTACTTCACACACTGTGAAGGCATTCAATACACGCCAGTCCTTTTCCTTGCTAAGAGTCAGTTACTGGTACCTGCGGCTCAGGTGATGCTCTGTATCAATAGATCTTCTCTGATCACTTGCTAATAGCGATTCACTGCGTCTGCGCTCTTTTGCTCTATACTAGGCACCCATGCCTCATTGAGTGCTTTCCTTTCCTTCTAATAAATTCTTGGGCACGAAATACTTTGACTTCTGTGTACGTGGAAGCAGAAATCCACATTTGGTATCTTCATCTACTCTGGCTAGCCTGCAAGCCTCAGAGATCCTCTTGCTTACACCTTTCAAATGCTCAGATGACAGTGCATTGTGCTTATTTGTCTAGGTGCTAGGGCTATAACAAGCCCTCACGCTTAGACATCAAGTACTGAACCAACTGAATTCTTTCCCCAGCACTCCTCTGACTCTTGGCCAACCAAAAGTTACAGAGTACTTGGAAAGATGAATCTAACTGATAATTTACATCTGTTCTTTTCGCTAATGGGGATCACATCTGGATTTAGTTCTCACTAGAATGCTCTTCTAACATGGAGTTAGAACTAATCCAGAATGGTTTGTGACTGGTAATTAAGTAAACATGACACTCATGCTTTCTCATGCTTTTAAAGAGCAATTTCTTATTTGTAGTCCCCAAAGTTAGCTTAAAGACAATGAAAGTCCTTAGTTCCTTCTTTCAGTAAGATGATGGAGGAAGAGAACTCAAGCGCCAATCAAAGCAGAAAAAGAAAGGAAGTGAAGCAGTTTGGCAAAGGCATTTAATAATTCATTGATTTATATTCTTCTTATAAAGAAAAACTGTAGCTCACAAACTACTAAGAAATTATATGCTTTAAAAGACTTACCCCTCACTTTTCATATCTTTATTGGTTAATACCCTAGGTTCAATATGTTTCAAATAATTAAATACTGCAACCGGGACATTAAAATACAAACTAATTTACCAAAATAATTGTATTCTGAGTATTATGTACAATATTATACATTTTACATTACATAGTGGGGCTTTTATACATAAAGATGAGATTTGATTTATGGCTACTAGTAATCCAAAATACGGAACAGTTCTATGCACACATACACATGACTGTGGCTATTAAAAACTAAAATTACATTCATACCATAAGAGCACAAAATGAAATTCATTTATGATTTTGAAAGTGGCATTTAAAAACCACACACAGATGAATTGTGACCCAGTTCTACGTGTTTAACCATATTGATGATCCAAGCTGAAATATGTGCTCATTTATGGGAAAAATTTCCACTTTGTATTTTCTCCTAAGGGATGTATTATTACTCACAGCCATTAAAATGCCTTATATATAGTCGAAGGCAGGTCAATTCTGGGTAAACAGTAAAGCCACTGAGGGTGCAGTTCTTATCATAGTGCTATAGATATTTCACGATATAGTTCTGAAAAATAATCTTATTAAACTGTAACATTGCATGCTTTCATATCGATAGCTGTGATCCAAATAGTTACATACCAAGGCACAGAGCTTAAGGGAGAAATATGTGCTGTAGAAACTGGATACCAAGGAGAATATAACTAAGAGACTTTAGATAAGAAAAAATGGAGACTGGGAGGTCACCCAGGAAGCAACTTCACACAGACTCGATCAGTTTCTAAGTGTGTCAGCCCTTGTTTGGCCTCTATAACTAAAGACCAAGTCCAAGATACTTTCCTAGGGGTATTAATATTACTCGATTTTCATACTTGATTCCTCTCGAACATGGCAGCTGTGATCTTTCAGCACTGCTAACTAACCTGAAAGTTTGAAAACACAATGTCTTTGCTCTGACACACACACACACACACACACACACACACCTTTCCAATTACATGTCAAAGGCGCAGAGGGATCTCATTTCCAGACAGCCTGTAGCAGTGACATCCTATCAGAGCCGTACCTAAGAACCTGCAGGAATAGCCACTAGGCTACCTACCGGTCATTCCCTCGACATTTGCACAGTGTTTTTCAGTACATCTTGTTTCTAAATCCAATCCTGCCTTTTATCCAATATAAACGGTAGACTCCCTGGAAGCCAGAAAAGAAAAAAGTAACGAGCTGAGACATGCACCAAAGCCAAGCACTTTCCAACATCACACCGTCTCTGAGGAGTGAGAGTCAGACCTGAAGGCATGTCTGATTGTTTTTCCTTCTTCTCCATGTTTAACTTGACTATAAAAGAAGTTCTAAGTTATCAAAATATATTCATATAAATGTATAGCATTTCTAATATAAAAGTTAAAAAAGTCTAAACCCTTACTTTTGTTTGTAATTAAATATTCTAGAATTCAGTAGGCGGGACTTGTTTTAGAGCAGCTTGAAAAAAAAAATGGATGGCTGAGCGTAGCCTAGAAATTGGGTCCAGCTACATTTCTGCTCTCCGATGTGATTTCTCAGCGATAGCGGCCCCCTCTTCTTCCTCATCTTCCTCCTCTTCATAATGCTCCTCCCTTCTTTTGGAATGGGCACCATCTGGAGCTCCTGGTTCTTCGCCATCATTATTTTTATCATCAGCCTAAAAGATAAAAGAAAAAGACAAAAACAAAAACAACAAACTAAGAGTGAATGTAGAGTTTGTGATGGATAATACTCTGCAACAAAGGATGCAACGTAATTCATTTTGGAGGAAGAGAAGGCGTGAAGAAAATGACCTCATCAACAGCACCACCCACCACAGCCTCGCAGTGTTTCAGATCATAACGTTTCTTAATTCTAGGCGGGCCTGCTAAATTTGTCATTTACTTAGAGGTACAGAGAGAGTGCAGCTGGTCTCTGTGTGGATGTGTGTGATTTAGATGTGTAAATGTGACATTCCTGAGCAGTGTAGGCAAAAACACACATTCCTGCATACATTCATGTTGGCACACATACACATGCACGCTCACATTCAAGGAAGTAAAACATACATTATCACCATAGGTCTCTTCAGCATTGTGCTCTAATTCCCTTTTCTTCTCTTCAGTCAGATCTTCCTGAACCTAAAACACAATCACAAATACCAAGTGAATCTTTCCCATTTAAACATGTGTGGTGAAATGTTGCGGTTTCTAAGACATTCATTCAGAATTGCACATCTTTACAAAAAAAAAAGGAACTAAAATGAACGTTGAAAAATGATACAAGTCAAAAGTTTGACTTGTCCAGTAGGCGTACGGAAGTGTGCAATACACCTCTGTAGAAACTGTTGGCAGTTAATGGTTGCTGGAGGAACAGGTGCCTTTTTCTTCAGTGGCGTAGCACTTAGAAGATGCATGTGCTCCAGTAAATCACCTCCTGCTCATGCTTGGGCAAGAAATCTAATTCAACTCAGTGGGCCACATCAAATAGGAAGATGTGAATGTAGGAAGAAGAATCGTTGAAAAGAAGCATCCCAGAGGGAAAGGGAATGGGATGAGGGTGGAGGATGGAAAAGGGTAATGGAGGGGAAAATGGTTAAAATTTATTATATGAATATATGAAACTGTCAAAAAGAGAAATTTAAAAGTCAGTGTGATTCTCAAAGACGGACCTGGCTCTCTGTTTCAATAAAACTGTATTTACAAAACAGGTTGTGTTTATTGGAGTTTTCTATCTCTTACTATATATTGTGTAGAAAGACACACCTGAACAAAAGGCTTGTCTCTAAACATTTCTTTCTATATGAACAGCGAGGTTTTGCTTTGGTTTCAGGCAGGGTGTCATCATCTCAAGCTCACAATCTCCCTGCCTCAATTCCTGGAGTGCTGTGATTACAGATTTGTTTCAGCATGCTGGGGAAACAGTTTTCATTATGGTAACCCTCAATAAAGTGCCAATAAAGAGAATCACTTAGTAAGACTTTTATAGCCATTAATCTCAAGATGGTCATACTTGCTTCATCTATGACAAGACTACTTTTTCAGTGAATTACGTATATGCCTCTGTGTGTATATGTTCATGAGTGTGTGTGTGCGTGTGTGTGTGTGTGTGTGAGTGTGCAGGTGCACTAGAAATGGGAGGTCAGAAGTCAATGTCAGGTTTCTTCCTCAATCTTTCACCCTATTTATTTATTTGTTTGTTTGTTTATTTATTTATTTATTTTTTGGTTTTTCGAGACAGGGTTTCTCTATGGTTTTGGAGCCTGTCCTGGGACTAGCTCTTGTAGACCAGGCTGGTCTCGAACTCACATAGATCTGCCTGCCTCTGCCTCCCGAGTGCTGGGATTAAAGGCGTGCGTGCGCTACCACCGCCTGGCTCCTATTTATTTTTTAAACTCAGTCTCTCATCCATCCTGAAGCTCACCTATTTGCCTAGTCTGGCCTGTGAGCCCCAGGGACCCTCCTCTCCCTGTCTTCCCAATGGAAGGATTACAAGTGTGTGCTATCAAGATTTTTAGTTATTTTTTTAAAATGTGATTGCTGCAAACCTAACTCAAACATTCAAGCTTATATCATAAATATTTTAACAACTGAGACATGGCCTTGGCCTTTTGCTGAATTAGTCTTAAAATTTCTACACATCTTGCTGTTTCCATGTAATGGCAAGTACATTCCATGGTATACATCTCTGGCAATGCACGTCTCTCTATACAAACAATGTGTTATCACATCTGATAGCTTCGGTAACCCTGTGCTCTATATATACTGGCTAGCCCACAATCACACTTTCTTGACTAACTTTTTGACATGGAAACTCATTAAGTGACCCAATCAGGCATCAACCAGTGGTCCTTTTGTACAACAGCCTTTTCAGTACAGGGACTACAACTGTGAGTCTTCCTACATTAAAGGGTTGGCTTTATTAAAATATAACTGAAATGCCACTACATCTTATTAGTGTAAGATGCTAACTGTTATAAGAATCCATGTGCAGTCACTTTGCCCTAACCACAATCTAAACAAAGATTATGCATAACATGGGATTCCTTTCATTCTTTTTTCTTAAAAAAAAAAAAAAACACCAAAAACTCTAGGTGCACTTCAGTCTGGTATGCCTTCAGCCATCCCTCCAGCCATTCCTTTAGGTCCTTATATTTCCTGTGAGTGAAGCTAGCATTAAGTGTGAGCAAATTTGGCTTCAACGTAAAAGCCAAGGGCATTTCAGAGCGGGGCTGAAAACTTCCTGGTTTCATCTCGACACCATGCACCCTGTGCATGTTTGTTCTAATTACAGCAAGGTCGTCCTTGGTCAGTGACATCAGATGTTGACAGCCCATGCTCCACAGCAAGTTCTCTGACCTCTGTTCAGGTAGTGATGTCATTCATTGATGACTATGTCTTAAGTCGATTGTTTTATTCAAAAGTTACATCATGATGACTTTCTGGTTCTATTGTTCTTTCTATATTACTCCCACAAAGAACTCCCTCCCATTAACTTTGAGTTCTTGGTAGACTTAATAATGTCAACTTTACACCAGCCCTGGGTAAGCAATAAACAACAAATTATATACTTCTGAAAAACGTAACTCTCCTTTCTGAAGCTCAGATTTCTTATACATGCAATAAAAGTGTTAAATAAAAATTCACAGCATTTGGCGATTATGTGTGTGTTGGGGTAGGAGCAGTCTGAGAGCTGCAGGTCCTTTTTTAAGCATTCAATGAGAAAATGTTTAGCAAATGTGTGTAACCGTTCACATAAGTTCAGGAGCCCACCCACACTTTTGCTTTTTTTTTTTTTTTTTGGTCTTGTTTTATTTATTTACTTTTGTTTTTCAATACAGGGCTTCTCTGGTGGTGCCTATCCTGGAACTAGCTCTTGTAGACCAGGCTGGCTATGAACTCAAAGAGATCCACCTGCCTCTGCCTGCCCCCCTCCCGGGCGGGGATTAAAGGCCTGCACCAACACCACCTGGCTGGTGACATTTTGCAAAGTCGATCTAGAGCTGCTCTCCCTAGGACTATTTATCTAAACAGAAGATCCCGAAATATCAGTATCTACTGCATGGAAAGTGAGCTTCTGAAGGGCTCTGATTTTTAGGGCCCTTGAAAGAGAAGATCCAAATTCCACAGGGTAGAGTTGTTCTAGAGGTTTGTATTCTTCATGGGCTTCTCAAAGTGACTCCTGGTCACAGCTGAGGATGATCTATTTCTGAGTACAGTGGATGCTGGCTAAGGATGCATGGCGGGGAATTAATAAACTTTCTAAGAACGTTTCTCCCTTTCTCTACTCAGTGGGTCTACTGTAGAAATTTTAGTTTGTGCCCCAATTGTCATAATTATAGTTGTAAACTTATGATTTAAATGGCTCTTTGATTAATCAAAAATGATATTCGATAATATTTTAGCCATAGAGACAACAGGCTCTTACTTATGTAATATTAATGCATCAATCATATTGGAAACAAAAGTAACCCAAGTTCATCTTAACTGCATTGCTAAAGAAGAAGAGATGGTGTTGTATTCCTGAGCTTTACGCCATGCTTAAGCTGGCAGCCCCAGGTCAAAAGCTCACCTCTGACCATTACATACACCATCCACAACAGTTTACCTTAATATCCCGCTACAGCTAGCACAGGCTTTATCAAAAATACCACAACACTTCTACTTCTCATTTGTAGCCTGAAAGTTTGTAGCTTGAGAAACTGCAGAAAAGTATCCTACCAAATGGGGCAAACCTTGCTTAGTGGTTAAACAAAACAAAGCAAACAACAGCAGCTGACTTAGTGCTTGTGTAGGCAGTGACACTTTTCTTCTACATATGAGAGAACTGTGTACCTAGGGAACCTAGCCTTAAGAAGCTGAGCACGAGAGGTTTCGGAGGTAGTGGCTGTGAGACAGTCAAAGACCTTCAAAAGCGTTAGCTACAATGGCTGATCTGCAAGGTTTAAAAAACCTGTGCCTATTCAAAAGGCCTCTTTTCCTCCCTTCCTAGCAGGATCCTATAGAGCTCCCAACTTTGAAAGTGTGTCATGAATGGGACCCCCCTCCCCTCCCATACTAAAACAATGCAATGCGTCCATGCTTCTAGTTCACTGTTCATCTTGCTGTGGGTTGCTCAGCACCTCATCTTTACTATCTGCTCTTCAGATGCTCTTCAGGCCTCTACAGAAGGCCTCGGAATAATGTAAAGAGCTGGAAAATTCAATACAGTCTGTGCAAGGGATGCTCAGTGGACAGGCAGGCAGCTAAGACTGGAAGGCAAAGCGTCCCGAGAGTTGCAGACAGTAGTCCCAAATATCAGGCGCATGCGTGCCTGCATACCTGCGTGCGTGTGTGCATATACCTGCGTGCGTGTGTGCATGTGTGTGCCAGGGGCTTTCATGGACGGTGTTAGCAGTCCAGCTGAGTCAAGGAGAGGAACAACGGAAGCAGGGAGGGGAGGACCGCCTCTGGGTGCTGGCTGCAGTGGAAGAGCACAAGCCTCTCTGCCTTCATGCCTGCTCTTTCCTGTCTTCCTTTTCGTTCCATCCTGGCTTTCTTTCCTTCCCATCCTAGATACTGCTCACAGCTCAGTTTTTCTCCTTCACCTTAACAGATCACACTACAGAGCTGCGAAGGAATCAGCAAATACTGATTAAACTTTTATGTTTACCCCGCTGAATTTTTAAAAGGAAGCCAAGGTGAACCCTTTCTCTCTTAATCCCCCAGAGCTCCCCCTTATCCTCCTTAAGGAAACAAAGGACTACTGGTCCAGACATCCTGTTACAAAAGCAGCCCTGATGAATAGCTTTCTCCCGCAAATGTCTTAATATTCAAGGCTGCTACTTTCTCCAATGCTCTTTCCAAAAAGCCAATCTCTGGGTCTTCATGAAGATGAACGGCAGCAGGGGAAATGCAGGAGGGATGCAGGGATCCAGCCTGGTACAGACGGCATGGCCGTGGTCATAAAGGGCAGCATCATTTTCTCTTTCCTTGGGATAAGCACAAATTTTAGCATTGGCTCTAAAAAGCTGACAGAGGCAGAAAGAACGAGGCAGTGATTCATGAAGGCAGCTGAGGGTGCATGTGCCCAACTGCAGAGCACAAACTTTCTGAGCATGCTCTCTTCCTGGAGGCCTGTCTCTAGACCATCAAATGTTTGCCATCTCACCTGTACTTTCTCCCCAGGGACAAAGCCTTCTGTTCCCAAGACCCCGATGATGAGGTGGCTCTTAACCAGTGCTTTAACTTGGGAAGTACTGACTTGTCTATGGACAGCCCCAACTACACCAATCAGAGGAAAAGATAGGTAGTAGACAAGGTATACGCAACACCACAAAGAGCAACACGACCCCAGTAAAACCTAAAGGCCCCACAACAGCAAGACTTGAACAACCAAATATAGATGAAGCAGGAGAAAATGATCTAAAAATTAACATTAGGAGAAATTTTGAGGCCCTTAAAGAGGAATTGACCAAAGAATGGATAACGAAAATGTGGTACATTTACACAGCAGAGTACTACACAGCAGAAAAAAAAAATAATGACATCTTGAAATTTGTACGCAAATGGATGGAGCTAGAAAACATCATATTGAGTGAAGTAAGCTAGATCCAGAAAGACAATTATCATATGTACTCACTCATAAGTGGTTTTTAAACCTAAAGGAAAGAAAACCAACCTACAATTCACAATCCCAGAGAACCTAGGCAACAATGAGGACCCTAAGAGAGATGTACATGGATCTAATCTACATGGGAAGTAGAAAAAGACAAGCCCTCCTGAGAAAATTGGGAGCATGGGGACCATGGGAGAGGGTTGAAGGGGAGGGGAGAGGACAGGAGGGGAGCAGAGAAAACTGTAAAGCTCAATAAAATTATTAAAAAAAAAGAATTGTTGTGGTCATGGTGTCTCTTCGTAGAGGTAAAACTCTAAGACTTCCACATAGAGTTCACTAAAAAGACAGCTGTGACAGAAAAATCCCTCACCACCCTCACTGATTAATCAGAGGAATAAGATACTGGGATAGGTTTTATATAAGATTCATTAGTGGTAACATGCCAGAAATCTACGATGGAAAGCAAATTAAAATTTAATATTAAGAAACTCCATCTAAATGCATTTTAATTCAAGGGAAGTCCAGTTCCTTTTGTATTTTACCTCCTCCTTTCCATTTCTTTCCCTTTTTCTTTTGGTGGAGGGTGCTGTAGACTGAGCTCATGGCCTCTTACTTGCCAGGTGACCCCGCCCTCATTATCAAGCTTAATTACGATTTTGTACTCATATGAAAGAAGAGGTCAGCAGGAAAGACTGGTGACTTTCTAGAAAATCTTGGAGTGGCTTAGATGGGTCCCAGTTCACTCTGTGGGGTTTGAGAAGGCATAGAGAATATTCCACAAAGAAAGGCATATGGGTTAGTGCATGCTCCCTGGATATAGAGAGCCTTGTTCTTCTCTCTTTGATGTGGGAAAATGCATGCACGGATATTCAAAAACACCACATGGATCTATGTCTGCCAGAGGTCTTCTTGATTCTAAATTTCAAGTCATTTAAAATCTCTCTGATTTAAGTCTGAATGTCAAAGTCAACAGAGCCGAGGTTTGTCTGAAGGTGGTATTCCCAGTGTGCCCAGTCCCATACATCCAATCATATACCTCTTCCTCTCCTTCTTCCTGGTACTGCTCATCAACATTATCCTCCTGCTGGTCTGGATTCCCTGCCATCTGTTGAAACAAAAGGAGATGCTCATGATACCGTACCTTGGAGAAGCATCTCACAGGATGCTGGGTCAATGAATGAGTACATTGTGATGAAAAGTGAACACATAAATGCATCAGTAACCAGACAATGCTCGATGTTCACTTCTCAAAAGCAGTATGTGTCATCCCTTCCCTCACTCTTGGGGTACAGGCATACCATCTTACACAGCGTCCAAAACTGGACTTTGTGCTGATGTGGCAAACTGTCTCTCAACCCACAGAACTACGTGCTTTTTGCCGCAAAGAAGGCATTCACTAAGATGCTCAGGCCGAACCCGCTCTTCATGACAGGCGTCATCTTACCACCAAGTGCTCATCCATCTCTGCATTCTCTCGCTTGGGCTCCCTTGGTCTTTGCTCCTCACTTTCCTCTGGCAGGGTTTCTTCTCTCACTTGCTCAGCTTCCTCAAATTCATCTTCCCCCTGATTGTTGGGGTCGTCTGCTGGGTTGATATCCTCCACAGCTGCCGTCTGGAAAACAGATTTCAATGGAAACGTCAACACAGAGGCAGGAAAGGAGACTGTACTTCATGTGGGGACCCACAGATGTGAGTCTCTTCCACCTTGTCTGGAGGTCAGAGAGTTTGAGCTTGAAGGTCTTTCAAAGTTCTTGACAACAGGTTGGCCACAAATCCTGACGTAGGGTGTGGTTACTTGGTGTTTTGGACATTAAGATGGCCCATAGAGGTGGATCTGCACCACCCTGAGCAAAGGTCAGAGAATTCAAGCCTATTCCTGTTCCTTCATTTTTAAAATAGGAGGTTTGACATAGGGAGTGGCTGCCTACAGGATACTCGGTCTATGGTATATTCACTGCATATCCTACCCCAAACACTAAATGCTTTACTCAGGAAATAATGACTTGATGTCTCAAGTATTGAAGCAAGCGACTGTTCTGGTTGTCCTTGGTGGCATGTTAAAGCAGTCTTTTGTCTTCTTCCCCCCTTTTTTTGTATTAGGGTATAAAAGTGTATGGAAATTAAACACAGGAAAATTCAGTATTCAGCATACACTGAGTTGCCCTCCCAATACTATCCTGTGTCTCTGTGTTTCTTTCATATCGCAGTTCCTCCTACCTAACATTTTTTTTTCTTTTCTTTCTTTTTTTTTTTTTTTTTTTTTTTTTTTTTTTGTTTTATATTGTTGA